TTCGGATTATGGATTATTTTGACTAGATGTAACCGACTATTTTTGTTTTACAATCCGAAAGTTTTCGTATTGTGCTTAAGTTCTTTCCTACTTTTGGTACTTTAGTTTTAAAGGTGTTCTCTGTGTCTAAGCACTTTTGATGTAGTGCTAAAGGTGTCATATCTTATCAAGCGGGAGTAATTAAACAGGGGTTTCATTCACGTTGTTGTGCTAAAAGCGCGTCATTAGATCAATAAATTTCCTCTTTATCTCATTGTAATGCAACTTCGTGCGACGTTCTTCACGTTTTTATAGTTATTGTGTGCATACTCAATGCTCTGATAAGGTGCTTTCTGCTTATTTGCAGATGACTGGAGAAAGTTCGCTTTCGTTGTTGGGTCCCAACGATAATGGCAGTGACTCAGACAGCCAACGCACAATGGATCGTAGCTCGATCGGGTCGAATGAATCGAAGGTATGAAGTTTAGTTGTAACGTTTTCTTCGGTTTATATTTTCTTTAAAGCTTCCTATTGTGAATATGAGAAAGACGAAAACGTTTTTTTTTAATTTCCGTTTCTATGTGTTATCACTGGCGCGGAGTCAAAAAAACAAAGAAAAATTGCTTCAACAGCACGCGATGAAGAATGGCTTTGGCCTTGGGCTTACAACTGCAGAAAAAGTTAGAACGTTGGTCTTCATGGTTTTCTGAACACTAATATTACAGTTCTCGTTGTTTACCTACTTTGATACTTGGGTGGCCTGTCCTAACTAGTTGTGCAAACCCCAGCGTAATCTCCATTCTTTCGGAGTTTTGCTGGTTTAGCTATTGTGATTCCCTGGAGTCCCGAGGTCAGTAAAGCCAAAGTCTGTTCCAGGTCGTCATCACCACAGGCAGTCGTAGCCTTTGTGGATCGGAGGGAAATTTGCCAGTATGCGACTAGCGTATAAATAGTAAGATCATTGTATTCTGTGCAGAAGAAATTTTGTCTCAAAATGGCGGTGAAGCTGACTTCCTTGTATACCTTCCACTGCCCGTCTTGCTGGCTCATATAAAGTCTTATAACATGATTTTGCTTTCCTACGCTTCAACTTCAGTTTTATTATGAGACAATATAAACGATTGATATTCAGCAAGCCGTGTAGTTGATAAGAGCGTTCAATTGATGTTTACGTCCTCTGCTTTAGTCGGTTTGAAATGTGGTCTGCAATGAAGTTTTCTTTTACCATCTTCATTTGTCAAGAACATCGCCGAAAACGAAAAGATGGGAGGTCTTAAATGGCGATTGATAGAGTTGTAATGGGAAATCGAAATGAGAAAAGCCGTTTTCTTTTTCGATTCTTGTCTAGGGCATATATTTTATTGAAGTCGTTGGAAATAGTAGTCATCCATTTACACTACTTATGGCAGGACTGAATACATTCACAGGCACAGGTGGTGGTATATCCGTAAAAATTGCTTAGTACTATTTTTGTAGTGGATCGGGCCTTCTTTGCAAATATTATTTCGGCCACAGGCTGAAAAGAGAAACTATGTATGCTTTTGTTGCCCAAGCATTTTCGGTGGAGTTTCCCTACATGGTTTTTGAAGCTAAGAACGGCAAACCAAGGACTGTATTGTAATAAAAAGTCTTCAAGTAGGAAGTCAAACGCTGCAAATCATGAAGATCTTTTTAAAAGTCCGGATCCCCTATTCATTGCTATCGCTTTATTGTCCGGGAAGAGAAGAATTGCAACTGTCGAAATGCAAAACATTTTACACGTTCAGTACTATTAGGCTGTTAGAAAGTTAACTCATGATTTCGGCGTACCGCTTTAAAGTGGCTTATCTTAGTTCTTATATCTTAGTTCGGAAGAGACTTTATTAAAAATTTAGATCTTCAATATAAAGATCGTTGAAATCTACATATTTTTAGAACGAGAAACAGCTTTATTTGTTCCGGTTGCACAACATTTGTTTTTGGAGGCGGTAAATTCCTTGGAGGCAGTCGCTGTCTGGGCTTGTTTTTTGATGAGAGGTTTGGCAAGTGTGGTGGATGAGGGGATGTTTCGTAGCACAGCTCATTTGACTTTTGCAGTGTCGGTATTGCGAAGTGTTTCCAGTGCGTTATCGTGGAGAAGAATTCTTCTTTTTTGTTGAGCAATGCGATGTCCGACCGTTGAAATATCCGGCACAGTTCATCGACTTGCTAAATTTGCTTCTCTATCGGAATCGTTTCAACTGTATCCAGGAAGCTCTAATGTATTAAATCAGCGGCAGGCCACCAAACGAGCCTTTCGGTTCAAATTCAGCATTGGGAAGTATAGCAGAACTTCATCGCTGTTCAACCACTAAACGAATCGTCACTGGTTGTCACAGAGAATCGGAGAATCCATTTCTCTTCTTCCAACTTCGTCAATTTTTTATCGTCAATAGAAGGATATCTGTGAGCTTCCTCATTTTCAAGATCGAATTGGCCACGAGGGAATTTTCGAAAGAAGTGTTGCACTGTGCGCATTCGTTGACACTTCTTCGGTCCAGTTGAGTTAAGCCTCATAAAATTTTTCGAGCCAGTTACGCTGCACTACCACGAAAGTTGAATTCTTAGAAATAAATTTGTCGAATTTGGTCGTTCAACATATCAAATTCTAACCTTTAGAGTTTTTGAAGAAAACAACTTTTACTTTAATTTAATTACACGAAACGAAAGGTGTAAATAAGCTCTGTGTTGATATATAGTAGTATAGCATTCCAAAAAAAAATATTGCTAGAAAGTACTGGTGTTTGGCTGGATAGATTGCGGTCAACTTGACCTTTCAGGGCTCTGAAGAAGGCGAAATCCGCCGAAACGTCAGCTCGCTCGTAAATAAAGAAGTAAAATAACACCTCGAGTCTGCCCAACAAGAATATAAAGGATTGTTGGATCAATGCCGAGGTTAATAGAAAGTCGGGCATTGGTATTGGTAGAAAATATACAAGGAGATTAAGATTTTAAACCACACATTAATTCGCGAAAAACTACCACACAGGTGAAATTACAGTACTGCTGGGATATATAACCTCAAAAAAGAATTGCAAAAAATGCTATAGGAATCTATGCCTATACATCGTCCTTCCTTCAGCTGTGTTGAGTGAAGATGTGGTTCATTTTACATCATGCAATAAAGTGAATTGGTGACGGAATTGCTCCTTCAGTCTTCTCTGTTTTCCAAACCGCAAAATCTTCATATATCGGGTATCTTGTAGACGTCTTTATCTTGTAGACGCAAAATCTTCGCCGGAAAGAAGCGAATCGTGAGCATGTCCATCCATGTATCCTGGTATTCTTGGGGAAATCTTGTATTTTCTCGTTCTCTTTGGTTTAATCTGAAGGAAATAACATTCGCAAAGCATTTTCAGGAAACTTCTAGTACAAGCAAGCTGGGTGCATTATTTGATAAGGCCAAGTCTAAAGGCAAGAAATTGGTACTACCTAAGAAAGATCGAGATCAACCGAGGACACCTGGCAAGTGTTTGGACTGTTGAAGTTTTCCCATGTATGAGGTTAAAATCTATGTTGGAAATTTGTAGATGTTGTGGAAACAGCTTCTCAATGTGTTATTGTTCGAAAGCCTCCAAAGGAAAAAGACAAAAACACTCAGGCAGACGCATTGCCTTCAGTTAGTTGATTTTCACTTGACTGTTTTTTTTTAAATAAAAAGTCCCATCATGATGATAATTTTTATGTTTTCGTGCTCAGTGTTTTCTTAGGGTCAATTTATCGTCTATTCTTTCGTGCGTCGTTATCGTAATATGCCATTTTTTCAATGTCGAGTAGTATTGCTCGGGATGCTGTTTTCTATCACATTCGTATTCCCAGGTGGGTTTTATGGTAATCTTTACAAATATATCAGCATAGATGTCAGGCGTCATTGTCAGGGATGCCTAGGTCAATCGGGTGATTGCTGATGGCACTGATCGGTAGAAAACTAGCTGAGAGACAGGCAAAACGAAGGATCCATATGGTGTGGTGGTGAGCGCGTTAGCCCCCGGAAAGGATAATAGTGCATTCGTTCCCTACCGCACACATCTGCGATCCAGAGTTTTGCAAATATCTGAGCACTATTGTGGTTGTACTTCGCATAATACCCTTCCATAAAAAATTATAGAAGACAGCAAATGAAAAATTAACATTGTGTCAGCATAGTTTGACTCTTTTATCTTGCTTTAGTTACAGAAGAGTGACTAGTTTCATCAAGTGTTTCCTTTCAGCATTTCTTACTGGCCTTATGTGGGGGCTTTATTTATCATTTGTCGGGTTTCTCTATCTCTTTGTCTCGGATCTTCAGCCCGTGGTAAGCTGCCTGTGACTAATTGTTTATATTTAAAACAGATTGTTGCTTTTGATTTTCTTTTTCGTTAGTTACATCTGTTCATTATCATCAATAGTTACGCACACTATAAATTCGTCACTTGTCAACTAAGTTTATTTGTCTTTACTTCTTAAATTACCAGACTACTATGCTAAGAGCGGCTTGCACAGTGGTGTGATCCCATTCATTACATCAACACCTCTACCTACTCAGACATGGCCTCAGCCCTGCCCTGAGCCTCTCCGGCTTTTCATCCTTCCGAGTTCGCAGTTGGTACTAGACGTGTGTGGACTTAGCTTACTTTTCCAGTTTACATGGGAACTCTCTGGCACGACTGCCCCAGGACTAGGCAGAGAATCGACTTGACGAGCACTGAACCACATTCGTAAAGGTTAAAATCCTCAAGTAGCATTCGAACAAACACGCAAAAAAGTTCGAAGTCTTTCGTTGACGGTGGATGCGAAATAACGAATCGAATACAGGAAGTACTGGGATCATAACAGTGGAAGTGAAGACAAGTCCTGTAAAATTTGAAAAACTTACCGAACATAATCCTTGGTAATTTTTAGGTGGTGCTGGTGTTAGTGCTAACGTTGATAGAACTTATGAGCGCCAGTGCGTAAATCGGTATCCCCAGTCTTTTTTCTTGCAGCGTGATCAGTCGTTCGCGAAAACTCATCAGTTAAGCGATAGCTACGACGAACTGGAAGATGCACAAGAAGCTCTTAGTGGCGAAGGAAATGGTCTAGGTTTGGGCGATGGTGTTATCTATCGGGTGTGTTTTTTTTACAGTGGTTTTTGACTCTGTTAACAACATCCATTGAATGCAACTAAGCGTTTATTAAATTGTTCTGTGTTTATGTGAAATGCAACCAAAGTGATGGTAAGATTCGAGCAAAACTCGGAAGCTCAGTGCGGGTTTAGAAAAATAAAAGTAAGAATGTTGTTTTGTTTTTGTCTTAGGGATGGATGAATGAACTACGGGGAAGATATTCTCCCGCTACCTACCACGTTAATCATGCGCAGTCGGTTCTAGTTCGACTAGAGGTTTGCTTTTACTTTCATGTGTCTTCTGTTATTACGTTAATCATACATGTGTAAGTGATTTAGGGGTCAACATTGCGAATTTCGAGGCCAGCTAAAGCAGTGTTGAAACACGCGTTCCATGAAGATCCAACACTCACTCAGCCGCAGCCAACTATGGTTTCACAAACAATATACAGCCTTGTCGATGCTCATGTTGGTTGATATAATTTCGTTTGTTTTTCTGTGACTCATTAAACCAATTATGAGTAAAAAATACTTGTGCACTACTTCCCAACGGTTTGGCGCCTCACCGTGGCTGGGAGGTGTTCCTGAGTGTCGGGCTGCGATGTACAGCGCGGATTCATCCCCCGGCAGGATCTCCAACGCCGAGGAGTCCAGCTTTTCCACCGGAAAGCCTAGTTAAGAGTAAACCAATACCAGAATCGACCACTGTCCAGGTACCGAACTTGTCGCATGGTGGCAAATCTCCCTCTGATCTATAAGGGCTGGGATTACCTGTGATGGTGATAACCTGGAGCAGACTTTGGTTAAGCTGACCTCGGGGCTTCAGAGAAACGCAATAGCTAAAACAGCAAAATCCCCGAAAGTGGAGATTTTGCTAAAACCTGGAGAACTAATGAGGACGTGGAGTCCAAGTATCCAAATAAGTAAGTTGGAAACTAGAGAGAAAACTAGGTTCGTCAGGTCTTCTCTTCAACCTTTGTCACATTTTTACTTGTATTGCAATCTATGTAGTTCTTTTTCAAAATGAGGCTCTTCATAGTTCCCAGGACCGACTTTCTGTTAACCTCGGCATTGATCAAGTAATTCTTACTATTCTTGTTGAGCAAACGCGAGGTCTTATTTTATTGTTTATTCAGAAACAAGCTGACGTTTCGGCGGATTTAGCCTTCCTCAGAACCTGGGAAGGTGAAGTTGACAGCAATCTATTCTGCCAAAACCTCCATAACCAAACAGAGAAAATGCTGAACCATGATTTAAATCACCTTGAACGGAGAATGGCTTCATCGCATACTCGCCGCTTTCTATGAGTCTTCATCTGAATATGTCACGTGGAGACCAACCACACAGAGTTTACATGGAAGCGTAATGTGCCTCTCACATCAAAACAGTAGTTTTAAATACTGCCCGATACCACGCGTGGTAATGAGGCAATCCTCCCTGCGGCTCATTTTCGGATTCTTGGAATTAATCCAAAATGTCTTAAGAATTTGCGCGCTTTTGTTTTCGACTCCTGTCCGAGGATCGTCACTTCTGCTTCAAAATCTTCCCCGTTATGTCTCTTGTGTCCTATGCGTGCCCAGTGGGGTGCTTGGCTTAACTTTAATTTTACCGACTAGGTGTTTTTTTTTTAATACGGACGCAGAGTGGTCTACCCGTGTCGCCAATTTATTCGTCTCCGCACGTTTTACAAAAGGTCAGGTAAGCTGTAATCGAATTCATGCAATCACCGTCTCTACTGTTGGGGCAAATTATACAATTTTGCGTTGTACATAAACGGTCATAAAGGCGGTTGCGAACTAGTTGGTTTTTTAGAGTACTAGCCGTATAAAAGAACACCTAGTTGGTAAAATTAAAGCTAAGCCAAATATCCCATTGGGCACACATGGGACACAGAGATATAACGAGGATGATTTTGAGGTAGAAGTGACGATCCTCGCACAGGAGTCGCAAACACAAGCGCGCAAAATTCTTGACACTTTCTGGATTAATTCCAAGAATCCGAAAATGAACCGCAAGGAGGAATGCCTCATTATCACGCGTGATATCGGGCAGTATTTAAGACTGTTGTTTTGATGTGAGAGGCACATTACGCTTCCATGTAAACTCTGTGCGGTTGGTCTTCACGTGACATATTCAGTTGAAGACTCATAGAAAGCGGCCAGTATGCGATGAAGCCATTCTCTGTTCAATGTGATTTAAATCTTGGTTTAGCATTTTCTCTGCTTGGTTATGAAAGTGTTTGGCTGGGTAGGTTGCGGTCAACTGGACCTTTCCAGGCTCTGAGGCAGGCGAAATCCGCCGAAACGTTAGCTTCTTCCTGAATAAACAACAAAATAATTCCGCGTATTTGCTCAACAAGAATACAAAAAATTACGAGACTCTTCAAGTCGGAGTTTTTCCAAATTGGGTATTCTTAGGTATCATTACGGCCAAAACGGCTAGCGAAGAGACGGTGGTGGAGTCGCAAGTACCCAATCCACATTCGTTTCGCGCGTACGCCAGGGAATATTGTTAACGTGTCGAAACCTCTCTCACGGTTGGTTTTTATACATTACATGATAGAAACGCTATAAATAGTTATATATTGCGGTTTTAACAGTTTCTAATCTTTTCCGAGCATTCCAGTTCCGTATCCATGCACCCAGTTGGAACTGCTCCCGAGTGTTTACCGTCCCTAGAGGTTGAAGGACTGTCATCCTTTGATGACGGTTACACAGCTGAAACAGACTCAAATGACGAAAGCGAGCCAGATCTTACTCGGATGAGTCGTGCCAATTCGCTCAGCGATGTCGATGATTTCATCAGTGTACCCGTTGGTGCTCCGTCATCACATAAACGCAGGTCTCTGTATCTGTTTGTGCGAGCTGCTCGTGAAAAAGAACGATGGTTCCATTTGTATGTTCTCTGTTTACTTGTTTATTGTTTATTGCATAAACGATAGATGAGGACTCTTCTTAGACTTCGAGAAGCTTGTGCTCAATCCAAAGGGTTTGCGAGACCGAAGACAAGACGAAGGAACAGCGAAGTGCGCTTTGCACTTGACGTGAGCACTGCTTGTCTATTGACATCACTTGTTTTTACCACTAAAATTGTTTACATTTTTATTCATCTGGAAACTGCTAATATCTGTTGAGGTTTGATCTCGAGGAACTTTTTCTTGCTTTACTGGGGAATAGTTCTCGTAACTCTATGCGGTCCGTGTAGCGCAGCGATCTGAGACGCCCTGCAAACCACATGGGATCGATTCCAGCGCCCCAGGCTCACCGCTCTACATCCTTCCGTGGTTGGCAAATTGCTACAAAACTTGTCTGGGAGGATAGCTGCACTGGTTTAATACATCGGTAGCCACAGTGAATCATTGTAAAGGCCAGATATGCGTTCAACCAACTTCAACGATGCTAATGAATTGAATGCATGGCACATCCCTCAGGGATTGATCGAGAGCTTTATCCTTTATCCTTTCCTTCACTGTGAACGGCTTTCATGTTTTGTCTCATTTTGACATGTTTGGTAAGTATTGTTACTGTATTTATCGTAATATTTCTCTCTTTGCTAACTTCAAGGATTTGAAAAAAAGTGTGCTTTTGCAGTGCCCGTCAATTTCTGACACTGTTTTTGAGGATGCCCTTTATAAGCGGATACATGCACAGTTTACTACGTGAGTAATACTCATCTTGCTTTGTAGCATATTGAAAGGATGTTGCTTAGTTCAGGCAAATTTCGCTGATTCTTGGCTGTGGCGTCCCCCAACCTGAACGGGGTTCCACTGTATCCGTAGATCTTGGCACAGTCAAATGGAAGCCCGGGATTCCTGAAAAGAGCTCGGATCTTGTCGAGTCGATTAATTCTCTTGGAACTAGGTAAGTGGTGGTATTTTTGATGCACTAATGGTTATTCTTTACATACCGTTTCAGAATATTTTTCGATTTTTGTCGTGACGAGTTTTGGGCTAATCAAGTGAAACATAAAATTCAGAGCAAATTAGCCACGATACATGTACGTCGTTTATTCATGATCCAGTTCTTATTTTGCTCCTAAATTCTATTAATCTGATGATTCTACAAGCGTCGGTTTTCAGTTGCCTTACTTCATTGAAGAATTGGAGTTATCATCATTGAGTCTTGGAACGACTGCTCCACAAATTGTAGGTGTATACGCCCCAAAACTAAATGAGTGGGGCATTTGGGTTGATTTGGAGGTAGGGTTATTTTCTTTTTATCATTTCTTGAGATGTCTTAAAATTTATACTTTAGTATTTCCATGGCGTAACAATAATTTGATAGAACCGCATGTCGTTCGTTTTTCTGCCAAGTTTCTTTGATTTACACAAGTTTTAGATGAAATATGCTGGCGGGATTCGATTGGTGCTTCAAACTAGCGTGAACCTTCTTAAGCTTCAATATGGAGCTGCAAAGGTATACTAACGTTCTTCATAGCTTTCATTTCTTACACTAGATTCTCCATTCTATCTAATTATTTGGATACTCGGACTTCTAGTCCTCATCGGCTGCGTGCATCCCAGCACATTCTCCATTTTTCGAAGTTTTATTGGTCTAGTAGTTGTAGTTCTCTAGAGTCCCGAGGCCAGCGATACTTAAAGTCTGCCTCAGGTCATCACCATAGGCAGTCGCCGCCCTAGTGGATCAGAGAGATTTGCCACCGTGCGACTAGTTTGGTACTAGGATATTGGTGGGTCCTGGTATTGGTTTACTCTTAGCTGGGATTCCTGGCTGAAACGCCGGATTCCTGAGCTTGGGAGACCCTTCCGTGGGATGAATTCCCCTCTGTACATCGTAACCCGACATCCAGGAACACCTCCCTGCGGCGACGAAGCGGTAAAACGTTAGAAGGCTTTAATTTAATTGCTTTCTTTATTGTGAATCACACCTACAAGCTCATCCGTCCAACGTGGAAACACTAGGTATCCTCGAGCTCATAACTAGGGTGCTTTGCCTTGGAGTTCTAGCGTTTTCCTTAAAGGCTTAAAATGTTCGGCCTCGCCGAGTTGCTTCTATGGTTTAAAATGTCTTATACCGCTTCTCAGTTGAAGATTGTCGTGCTATTGTGTCAAATTTTTATGCGCACACATAGTATTTCTTACATTAACCTTTGAAGGTTGAAGCGGAGCGAAAATTGTGCCGTTTGACGGATGCGATGGCGAGGACTTTCTCGCACTACTCAGATGAGGATCTGCCAGAGAGCCCTGAGAGCAGTCCCGATGAGGACTTTGGTGCAAAAAATAATTTCGAAAGGTGAGTAACTTCACAAACAGCTTACTTGAACTTTTATCAGCTAAACAGGTTTTCCTCTTAAGTGTATATTCGAGTTTTTTTGTTTTTTTTTGCTGTTTTTTAATCATTGCTTTAGACTGTGATTTCTTTTCTTATTTTTAAGTCACTTATTCGATGTTTACGTCGTTTCAGTACAAGCACAAGAGAGAGGACGGGAAAGAAGATCATTTCGATGGTAGAGCGTGCAGCACAGAGCAGCTTTTTCCAGAAAGCTGCGAAGCTTCCAAAAGTTGCTAAGGTGGGTTTGTCAACATATATATGTATTCGGAAAAAGCTGAGAAGATTGCAAGATGTAGTTTTGCAATAGCTTCTTGGATTATTATGCTAACACGAGGTTGATAAAGAGATTTGTTCGAATAACAATTCGAGATCTTCGCCTTCATCAGAGCCAGTGATCCGAGCCGATGGTCCACATTCGTTCACTGGGAAAGACGAAGACGTCGAAACGTTAGCCAAGTAAACATTTTTATCAACCTCTTGGACATACGCGGTTGCTCAGGCGCGTATGGCGTAGTGGTCGGAGGCACCCTGCAATACACATACATGGGATCGATTCCTGTGTCCCTGGCACAACAAGCCTTCCATCTCTTTGGGGTTGGAGAGTTGATAACAGACTTGTTTGGTAGGATAGTAGCACTGCCTCGATACATCGGTAGCACACCGCTAGTCTTTGTAAAGGCCATATGCCTTCACTCACCTTCAACGATGCTTAATGAAGTCCAATGCAATACACTTCCCTTAGGGAATGACCATTGCCGAAAGCTTTATCCTTTTTAGAAGCGAAACAATTTGCATGCTCACTGTCTCATGATTTGATATGCTAGAGGATCAACTTTATAAAAGGGAAAAGGAAACATGTGAAGCTACCATGCGAAAAGCAATGTTAAGCTTAGGAAAGTAGCTTCACTAACATCGTGGGAGCATTCATAATTTTTCATCTGAAGTTGGTTTAGCTCCAACAATGCTTAGTGAGGTCGAATGCATGGCGCATCCCTCACGGATTGACCAACTCCGAGAGCTTTATCCTTTTATTTTTTATCAACCTCTTGTTAGCTTAATAATCCAGGAACGTACTGATCATTAATGCGAAGGCTAAATGTTCCCTTGAACAATATTAACTTAACAAAGTTTAACTGTTTGGTTCAAGTATTCTTTACAGTTCCCATAAACCTATTCCATGTTATCTCCTCTTCATTGTATATTCACGCTTACTTTCTGAACTATCCAACTATTATTTAAGCTGATAGAAGACGTTTCCTCGACACCTCTTATTCTAAACGTTGAAGTGGAAATTCTTGAAGGGCCTATAACTGTTAACATACCACCACCACCATCTGATCGATTATGGTATGATGTATTGTTTGATACGATTTTTTTGTGTTTTTATGCTATGACCATTCACCATTTTCATGTCTAGGTATGGATTTCGGCGTCCGCCGTTGGCTTCCATACGAGCTGTTCCTCAAGTTGGCGATCGGTCTGTTGATATGTCAACAGTTTCCGACTGGATCGAGTCCAAGCTTCGCTTACTAATCGAAAAGAATCTGGTTTGCCCAAATATGGACGATATCGTACTACCTATCATGTCTGGAAATGACCTTTTACAGAAAGGCGCCTACAACCAGTGAGTTTGTGAGCTTCATGTTCATACGTTAACACTCTCTATGAGATCGGTTGTGTAATTTTTCGGGTATTTCTTTAGTAAGGTTTTAACTACTTGTTAGGTATTTTCCCAATCCCCCATATTTCATTGCTGCTGCTTTTTGTCCATGTTTAATTTCTAATCCGATGTTAGTCCTTAAAACGTTGTACGGCAATGTACAGATTTCTGAGCACCGCTACCGGTTTGATTGCTTTCGCTTATACGGTTAATTTTATACGTGCAAATACATAGCATTCATTATTGAAGTTGTATTCTCATGTACATTAGTCAATTCGATCAGTCAATCGATAAAATATCAATTCATTGTCAGCACTAAAATGATCCTTTTATAACTCGAACGAGACTGAATGTTGAAATGGTACAGCAAATAGAATGTTTGACTGAGTGCAAAGAAAATACAACCACAACAATGCTGAGATATTCGCGAAACTTGGACCCTGGGCCAGATCGAACCACGATTACCTTTTCCGGGGGCTCTCGCATTACGCACTGCACCACCGAAGCTCTTGATCTGCGTTTCTCTGAGCTAGTTTTCTACCTAACGCTGGCATCAGCAATCAACCGTCAGCGGGATTGATCTGAGAAGCACAAGTCGGCATTGAACGCATTTGCGCTGAGGCTGTTGTCGAAATCACAATGTTAACCTTTTATTTGCTGAGTGTAAAGGGTTTAATTTGCTGTATTTATTCCACAATGTTCATGATTTCATGAGTAAGACGATGTAAGAAGAGGGACAACTGGGATGATGAAGAGTCCGAGTTGTATTAGGTGACCTGGAATAAATTAGAAATCAGATGTACGGATTTACGAAGATATGGACAAAGTTGCATATTGTCTTTTTGACTGAAACATTTTGGCGTTAGCTTCGCCACTCACCCGAGAAAGGGGTTTACCACGTGGGTTTTGGTAACACGTTCTCGACAAATCCTAATTTTCGCCTGTGCGATGACACATAACTTTGCGTCGCACTTAGTAAGTTGGTGTCAACGCGTATCGAAAACGCATGAGAAAAGTAACCGTCTCTCTTCTTGTGTGGTTAGGCCTTGGTTTCGGTTTTCAATAGCTTCTTTTTCAATACCTTTTTGCCCTAGATGTCTTATACGTTCTATGAAGTTTTCCACATTTCTCGGAAGGTAAACATCTTGCTTGTGTGATGAAGTAGACAGATCACAACATACATCTAATAACACCCAGTTCTTCCAAATATTTCTCTAAATGTCTGCTTAGTTTATAATCTCAAAAATTTGTTAAAAGTTTGAAATAGAAAATGGACTGTTAACAAACACGGCAGACAGCTTCCATTGTAACCTCATGCTCTCTTGGAACAGTTTAAGATATCTTAAAAAGAATTTAGAAGTTGGCGATTCGTTTCGTTGGTAAATAAGTTCTTTATTGGCTGACGTACTTGCTGAACTATGAGCTTCCATTATCCATCTCTGCAAATTGTACAGAATACGTTGCCTGGCCAGTTCTAGGGCGACCGTATCGTTTGACGACGCTGGATACATGTCCGAACAGTGTGCTGCTCCTTTGAATGAATTGTATTTGCAAGTTTTCGCAGTGATTTCTTGATTGTATTTCACATAATACCCTGCGGTGAGGAATAATGGCCAGTAGATAAAAGATAACTAAGTATTATGTTACCACTACGACAACGTTTCTAAATCGCACGGAAACCGTATGTCAGCGTTGTGACGATTTTTCTTCAAATTCAAAATCTACAATGAAACTTAAATTGCAAGAAGCTCGACAATATTTTATTCGAGGGTAGATTTTCGGAATTTTTTTCAATGTTCAGGTTCTTCTCAAAAGTCGCAGGAACTGTCCGAATCCTCGATTAGCAGTTCGTGTATGCGCCGTTCTCATAAGGGACAAGAGTAGGAAAACAAGTACGCCTTATTTATATGTGCACTGGGAGGATAATTGAATCGGATAGCTTCACAGGCCCAAATGCGACCCATACTGCTCTCTTACTTCTGTCCAATTCCTCCATGTTCCTTCATGTTCATTGAACATCCAATGTACACGTACGAGGTGCTGTTTGGAATCGCAGAACCTTCCAGTACTATTTGTTCGCGTTCGCTTTGATGAACACGTTTTCGTACTATTCATGCGCAGCTTAGTCTTTTTTCCTGCATCATTAGGTACCCTAATCGTCGTCTCTGCTTCAATGGTAGTCCTCGAAAAGATGACGATTTCATCCGCGAAATGAAAATTTGGTAGGAATTTTCCATTAATACGTATGTCCTTCTTGTCTCAATCGAGTGACTTCATTATATACCGCAGTGCGGCACTGAACAGCTTTGGCGATATTGTGTACCCTTGTCGAACCCCTTTTCCTTTAGGTATGGTGAGTGATTCGTGAAAAAGCTGCATATTTGTGCTGCAGTTCCTATGACGGTCTGCTAGTGTTCCGATATAGGACGGATCCACTCTTCGATCGACGAGCGCTAATAGGATTCCCTTGATTTAGACCCTATTAAAAGCTTGCTCGTAGTCGATAAAGGTTAGGCTAGGAATAGACTGCACACCCGACAGACTTCTATGGCCAGTGATACGGTTTGGAGGTGGTCCGTGCAGCAGAATCCCTGTCGGAATCCTGCTTGCTCAACTTTTTGTGCCAAGATCTTCGATATACGAAAGGATAATCTTCATGAACAGCTGGTAGAGCATACTTAACAAGAATATCAGGCGAACGTTACGAAGATCCCTTCGGTTACCCTTCTCGGGTAGGATGGCCGTGTGCGACGTCCTCCACTGGTCTGAGATTTTGTCTTTATAAAAGTAAGATATCATGTGAGTTGAGAGCAGTACATATAATTTGCGGTCACCAGTTCTAAGGAAATTGTCGATGACATTATTAGGTGTGCCTCCATTTATGCTTTCTATATTCAACTAGAACTTCAGAGGGTACAATCCTGGGCGGTTTCTTACCATCGATGATTTCGAGATCCGAGGTGGGCGGTAGAGTGGAAAAGATTAGAATTTTTCTGTTGTCAATTCCACAACGTGGCACGACGTACTAGTAGTCCCATCTTTATTCATTAGGGCGGATAGCGGAACATTATAGTCGCAAAGATCCCAAAGGCACTTCTTCAGACTGGATCGTTTTCGAGTTGCGTACAAATAATCACTTTTTCTATCTGGGAAAGATCTTTTACAGTTGGCATTTATTATCAGCCGTGCTTTCCTTCTGTTCTCCAACAACTCCTTAGTGGTGATGGAGATGCGGTCTGAACTTCTTGTTTGAGGGAATGAGTCATTTTTTGCACAAATTTTGAGTCCTTCTGTGACGAACTTGTAGTTATCGGCCGGGCCTTTCTTTGCCTGCTAGTTATATGAGGGATTTTATTGAGAATATTTTCATTAAATATGGTTTGTTTCGTTTTTCTTGGACGATGACAAGGATTCGTTTTCAGCTTATTACTGAATCGTGTCTTCGTAGCTACGGACGTATTAAAGAAGCACCATCTTCTGCTTGTGTGAAGGCTGTCGATCTTTGCATGAGTGGTGTTGTTGAGAGACTTCCATGTCCAGCGGCGATTTTCTGCCTTCTCGAAAAATGAATTCCCATAGAAGGGCCATGCTAATGACAGGAGTCTTACATGACGATTTCCGTTCTAATTTCCTTCTCCTATTCCCACTCTCCTTATGCTATATTCATTTTCGTTTGCCGTTTCTAATCTGCTTTTGAAGTCTTCAATAACGAATTTACAGAAAAACTTTTTGTTGTGGATAACTTCCTCCAAGTTGTTGTAAAACGCGTTCAGTTCACTCTTATCAGTTGTGCAAATGGTAACAGTTGATGATACCGACTTTCTTCTGCGGCGCAAGTTGAAGACAAACAATGACCAAGCGCGGTGAAAGGGTTTCGTATGAGGTAATTAGATGCGAAATTAATGAGTGCAAACAACTTTAGCGCCTTCGACATTCCGTTACGAAACTTTCCCTCCCCGAATGACAAGAGTTCCGTCATCTAATTGGTGTATGTCGGTCTTCCTGCTTTTCGTCTCAAGCAGGGCGATCACATGCAATTTGATGCAACCAGCGGTCACAAGTGGAGCGTAGGCGTCGGTGTCTGAACAGATTGTTCTGGTGTTATAGATGCACAGCAAAAAACAGTCTCATGGTGTGTCGTGGGCGTTTTCGGTTTGTTCGTTTTAGATGACATCCTGTGCAACTCGAGATTTGGTCGCCTCCCACTCGTTGTCTCACTGCCCAACGTCGTAGACAGGAGCGCTCAGTGTAACGGGTACTGAGACTGGATCTGCGCTGGCTAAGCCACTGTAATTCTCTAGAATCCCGAAAAACTTTTCTTGTGTTCCAGAAAATCAGAATTCTGTCTGTATAGGATAAAAATACGGTTCAATTAGTAAAGTGTATTATTGTTCAGCCTAGCCGAAGCCTTTATCAGGCCATGATTACCCCAGGAAGTCGCTGCCTTTGTGGATCAGGAGGAGATTTGCCACCATGCAACTAGTTTGATACCACGACGGCGGTGATTCCTGGTACCGCTTCATTCTTACCTGAGCTTCCTGATGGAAACGTCGGACCCCTTCTTACCCTGGACGACCCTGCTGAGGGAATGTACTCTCTGCTATACATTGCAGCTCGATACCTAGGAACCCTTCCAGCTATGATGAGGCGGTAAACCGTGGGGCGGTCGTATTGTAAAGTGAGTCTGATACACAAGGTGGACGAAAAAGAAGCAAGAAAAACCCTCTTTTATGTTTCAGACAATCAGAATTCCATTTGTGTATGGCAAAAACGTGGTGGAATTAGTAAAATCTACTATTGGTTCAGGTATTTTGCTTTAAAATTGTAAGCGGCCTCTATCTTCACATTGAATGCATTGAAAGCAATGCATATCAGTTAATGTTAATGGTTGGCATTTTATGCTAAAAATACCTGCGTTGTGCAGGAAGTCACTAAAAGTATGTTGGGTGTTCATTTCGATTTTTGTGTGAGAAGTTTCCCTTTCCTTCTTTTCTTCTATTTTCTTCTTATTCTGACACCTTAGAATACATCTTGCCAAGTTCCCAGTGTAGTACAAGTTGAGTCCACCACACATACATAGCGGTGGTATTAAAATATTGAAGGGACATAGAGCATGAAAGTCTTTTACACTTTATCAGGTATGTGAGTGCTTACAACATGACTACAAATGGGAAGCTGTTTACGTCGCAGTTAGATATTGCTGTGAAGTGCAAGAAGTCATTACATCTTTTCATCCTTCCTCGTTCGTACCGCATTTTAGAGATAAATAACAGTTTGGTAGCGAAAAGGGAAATCATTCTCACCTTCAATCATGAAGGCGTCGACGTTTTTATTGATATCTGAGTGTAGAACGCCGAGTGATTTCCAAGGGTCGATGGAACCGTTAGGAAACACAACGTTTGTACCCTTAAACGAATACTGCTTGAGGAGTTAATAATAGCGCTGCTTTAGTTCATTGTTAAGGTCTTTAGTCATATTCTAAAGTGTCTATTAAGAATCAAAAGTCTTCGAATGCTCCTTTTTTCGAAAAACTAGCACAATATTCGGAACATACTTAATTTCAAGTGCAATCATTGCTGGGGAGATGTTCAGTGAGTGCGGGCGTATCTTCCGCACAAATAAAGCCGGTTCTCATTAAAGTTCAGTTTTCACTCTCATGTGTAGTGCGATAACCGTTCATTTTCCTTTCGTATTTTTATTTTATTTTACTTGATTTTATTTGATAAAGTATTTTATTCATTTTACTTGACTTATTCGACTCGATTTTATTTTTTATTTTGACTTGATATTTTTTATTTATTTCTATTTGATCCGCCCTCACGTCTACTGTGCGGATCCCGGCACTTCTCACATTCGATTCGTTTCCTCGCATCCGTTGTCCATGTCTTCCAACTTTTACGTGTGGCTTCGGTTGCTGCTTGAGGATTTCCATTTCATCTTGAATGTTGTAGAATGCTAGTCGAGCAATTCTCCCTAGAGTCCTGAGATAATCGGACTGGAGCGTTCCCAAATGGATTGCAGAGAGTATCTTTTTTTCATAGACAAGTCCGGTAGCAATGTCCTTATCCCAAAGGGATGAGAGACTTATTTGGCCCGGAGCGGAGTCGAACTGGCACTATGCTCGTGATGACGGACATCACTACCACTTGTTATCCGTATCCGTGCCCTTTTCTTTTTGTTACGAAACAATATTTTGTCAAAGACTCAGTGCAGTTCTTACTGACATTTTTGCCTATTGTTATGGGATTGACATTTTTTGGTGTTCAAAACGAAGTTCACATTGACAAGTACAATTCTTTCCTCTTTAAAAAATTCATGACTGCCATACCCGATAAGCAGACGCTCCACCGTATTTTTTCCGTACTCCAGCAACTCCGTCGTACGTAAAGGCGAGTGTATACCCTTGACCGAAGAGATCAACACATTGATTGGAGAAGAACCTGGTAAAATGGACTGTTAGCGTAGGCGTTGCTGTAGACTCTTTTTAAAATTGCATGCGATTTGAACTCAGTCATGCGCTCATCCATTCAACGAGCTATGGAAAGAGTTGCTTTTGGAGGCAAAGGATTTTCATGAATATGTGCTTAAATTGTTGAGCTTACACGAGGTGGATAAATTAGTTCTATTCAGATAAAGCTTCGACGTGTTCGTCTTCATCAGAGCCGATGATCCGAGTCCATAAGGCGTGCAACTTTGAACCATTGATGCGGATCATTGGCTCTTATGATGACAAAAATGTCGAAACGTTAGCCGAAAAAGGCTAGTTTATCAACTTCGTGAAGGCTCAACAATTTAACACATGTTGATTATTCTACTGCCGAGGTTAATAGGTCGGCTTCAAAATTATTGTTCCATGTCTTAATAACTCGAAAGACCGACTTTCTATGAACCTCGGCATAGATAGTTGATATATTTATTTATGTGATCTTATAAATTGATCTTCTTAAGCTGGTGCGAGGTTGGTATAGGTCTTCGTTGTCGTTGTCGTTGTTTTTGATGTTATTGAACGATGGCTGACGTTTCGGCGACTTCGCCTTCCTCAGAGCCTGAACGTATTTTATGTTAGAATACTTTTTATTATTCGGTGGAAAAGAAGGTTAAAGTATTAATGAAGATCAAACTTTAAAATAGACGCCATATTGAACAGAAAGGCCACTCACCGTGATATTACGTGCGGGACTGACCCACACGTAGTTTACGTGGAGTCGCGAGCAAGACACGCCCCGGGGTCAAAATATCATTTTGAAATAGGGCGCCAGGTCACGCATGATGGTGAGGCATTCGTCCTTCCGGTTCATCTTTGGATTTTTGAAATTTATCCAAAACGCCTCAAGAGTTTTGCGCGTTGATGTTTTTGATTCCTGCGCTAGGAACCGCACATTCACTTCAAAATCATCGCCGTTGTGCTTCTGTGCCCAATGCGTACCTAGAGGGGTGTTTAAACGGATTTTAGCTTTCCCATCTCGATGTTCTTTTATGCGGACACAAAGTGATCTACCCGTTTTCCCTATATATTCCTCGCCGCATGCATTACATGAGATCAAGTATATTATACCTAAACTCATGCAATCCCCGTCTCTCCCGTTAGGACAGATCATGCAGTTTTCTGAGCTGCGCTAACGATCATAGAGACGGTTGCGAACTAACTGATGGCGTAGGGTACTTGGTGTGAGGTCAGTAATTGCTACATAATTTTCAAGACCACTTTTTCTTAAGCACTTTTTAATGGCGTGACTTACTTCATTTTTTTATATTTTTTTTATAAATGAAGTAAGTCACGCCATTAAAAAGTGCTTTAGAAAAAGTGGTCTTGAAAATTATGTAGCAATTATTCACCTCACGCCAAGTACCCTACGTCGTCAAATAGTTCGCCACCGCCTCCATGATCGTTTGTGCAGCTCAGAAAAATGTATGATCTGTCCTAACGGGAGAGACGGGGATTGCATGAGTTTAGGTATAATATACTTGATCTCATGTAATGCATGCGGCGAGGAATATATCGGGGAAACGGGTAGACCACTTTGTGTCCGCATAAAAGANCATCGAGATGGGAAAGCTAAAATCCGTTTAAACACCCCTCTAGGTACGCATTGGGCACAGAAGCACAACGGCGATGATTTTGAAGTGAATGTGCGGTTCCTAGCGCAGGAATCAAAAACATCAACGCGCAAAACTCTTGAGGCGTTTTGGATAAATTTCAAAAATCCAAAGATGAACCGGAAGGACGAATGCCTCACCATCATGCGTGACCTGGCGCCCTATTTCAAAATGATATTTTGACCCCGGGGCGTGTCTTTCTCGCGTGGACTACGTGTGGGCCAGTCCCACACGTAACATCACGGTGAGTGGCCTTTCTGTTCAATATGGCGTCTATTTGAAAGTTTGATCTTCATTAATACTTTAACCTTCTTTTCCACCGAATAATGAAAAGTATTCTAACATAAAGTACGTCCAGGCTCTGAGGAAGGCGAAGTCGCCGAAACGTCAGCCATCGATCAATGACATCAAAAACAACGACAATGACAACGAAGACCTGTACCAACCTCGCGTCAGCTTAAGAAGATCAGTTTATAAGATCACATAAATAAATATATTGTTCCATGATTGCAATTTTTCGACGCATAAGAAGCGATACAGCGAAGCCCGTTCAGCTATGAAATGCCTATTGTTGTGGGATTGAGCAAGTGACTGACTCCACTGGAAGCGTCCTGCCAAAGATGGTAGATTGATTACTGTCAGTAGTTTGGAAGTAGCCGAGTTCGGTGCACATTTGCCATGCCCAGCTACGCATTGCAACTAAAAGTATTATTTTCATAACTAAGTTCGTTCTTTTTTCTATTCTATTTATTTTTTTTTCGATTTTTTTCGATTTGTATTGATTTTCTATTGTTTCCACCTACAATCACCTATTCAACACTTTTTCTTCCTACTTTCATTTTTACATATTCTATTTTTGTAATGAAAACAGATGGAATAGTAGGGCTTTGAGGTTTTCCTCATTCGATTAGCTCTTTCAGATGCCTTAAACCTTAGTGGTGAGTTTTGAAAAATATGGTGGTTTCGTTTCACATCAAAACTCTTATTTTTAAACGGGTAACAGGATGTTATTTACTATCTCATCGGTCTACGGAAGCTGTTTTGCTTTTATTTTTATTTCAAATATATTAACTTTAACTTTTAAAGGTGATACTTGTTTCTTAAGAAAAGCAGCAACAATTTAGATCTAAGAAAAACGAATGACTTTAAATGTTGATGCATTCACTCCCACATCTTACTGGTGAGGTGACTTACCGGTGCGCCGTTCACAAACGGAAGATAGGGATTAAGCCATAATCAAAGGCGACATTGGGTTTGCCCTGATGCAGGCACATTTCAGGAAATAGGTTCCTTATCTTTGCTGTGACCACTCGGCAAATGCCTGTTTACGTATGTACACATAATCACAGATGAGTGAGTGAGGTATATGCCTATATTTTACTTTAATCCAAACAAACCTTGCAGTAAATGACTGTGAGGTGAAAGGCGAGATACTTCGAAGTCGCGTCCAACAAGCAAACAACATTAACGCTACACTCACTGGGCAACTATGGCACAATTTCTAGGAGTACTACTACTATTGGGATGGGTAGCGGTGGTAATGATGCCTTTTACCACGAATGCTATTCTTGTTCGAACCCACATCGAGCTAAGCAAGCCCGTTATTCATCCTGCGTTGGGAAATTAGTAAATTATTATTATTTTTGCCATTATTTTTTTACATGCTTCGACGTCACCAGATATTGCGGGGTCACAGCGCTTCTCGCATTCTATTTGCTTCCTCGCACCCATGACTGTTGTCGTCGGTTCTTCCTGGAATCGCTGAATAATTGTTCTAGGGCGTTCTACTGTAGATTGAAGGGAGTGAGCTCGTCGCAGACAAGTGTAGTATGAATTTTCTGACCCCGGAATGAGTGGAGGCCTGGTGGATTCGGGGCAGGGTTGAGCCAGCCGCATGGAATGGTTGGGCCCTGCTCGTTTCAGACGGCATCACCACCACTGCCTTCTTTTATGATTAATATTGCCATTATTTTAACTCTTTTATTTACTGCCTTTTTTCTTCTTAATGGCAGGGTATGTTGTGAAATATAACTCGTATGAAGTGCTGAGAT